CAATAGCAATTTTGTTCCGGGTGGTGTTTCAATGCTAAACTTTTCAAACTCATCAAAACCTTATAAGATGATAACAGATCAAGAATTTAGAGCTCCAATTTCAATATAAATTAACTGACACAAAAGGAACGTTCAATGCAAAAGCTATACAGCTATGAAAGTAATCGTTTACTTCATATCAAAACACCCATACCGTCAACAACCAGCATAATCACAACAACAAGTTTAACAAATTCTTTTCTTTAAAGAGAATGGAATGAAATTCTGACACTGAATTCGCTTAACAAAACGTTAAGACAACATTTATGCAGATGAAAATCTTGATAGGTGGTAAATGAGGGAATATCATTCACTATATGGAAATACTGATTACAACGAAAGAAGAAAGTGATTCGTAAGAACACAAAAATGTATACTCATTGCAATGAATAGCATTTGCTGAACTGATAGCAAAGTAATATTGCTGCAAATATTTCAAGGAAATGAAAAAGCAGATTTAGTGTTCAACAACAAAACATTAATCATCACTAACGTCAACGTTGGAATTGGATCGAATTGCACCGCATTAATCGTCGAATGCCCATCGGTCAACTGAATTTTGTAGAGACCATCACTGCCGGAACGACTGGACTGCGATAGTTTGGAGCACGAAACATTCAGCAATTTCGATATCTGAACCACAACTGGACCCTGAAAAGTGATCCAGAGATCAGTGGCACTGAGTAAAAACAATGCGCCAGCAATGATTAAATATTGTTCTACCACACGAGGTTACTAAACGATCCCAAGCTCGAATAATCCATATAAAACTGCCAACGTCAAACAAAGCAATACGAGAGTTCAATTAAGCTGATTCCGTATCAGATCGATACACTATTTTTGGTCAACCGAACCGACATAAACTCGTATAGGATAAGAAGAACGGATGAGAAGGAGAACTTTAACGATGTCAACGAAGGAGTGTGACCGAGAGGTAAGTTAGCTCTACTCTAAAGGCAATCATAAAGTAAAAATGCTACTGAAAACCACTAAATTAGACACCTTCAACTCGCCAATACGATAATCAACACGATCCATCAATACCGTAACGCCATATTCACGGATGTCACTCTGGAAATGTGAAAAATGATTGATGTGAAAATTTTAAGATATGATAATCCAGTTCTCAATGGTGAACACTGAAGGCTGGATTGCCATTAGAAATAGTACATAATATCCGAAAAAAAAAAAACCAAACAAAGAATAATTATTAACTGGAGAATTAAGCACACAACTGAACACAACATACATCGAGTAGCGTTTGACGTAATTTCGATGGATCATCAAATTGTTTCTCACCAAAAAATTCAGCTAAACGTTCTTCTGATATTGGCCATCCTTGGTTGATCAGCTCATTGATTCCAGCAAAATGCATCAATACCTCCTGAATGGATTTTAAAATGACTTTGTATCGTAATCTAAAAATTGAAACTCCTCAATTGGGCACTTCCCAGGATCGATTTATTGAAAATTTTTCCGCGTAAACAAACGAACTTAACTGTTTGGGAAACCACACTTTGAATGCAACTGCCCACAACAATGGTTCGAATAGTCATCGAGAGGAATTTTAAACAACGATAAACCTATCGCATAACTGTTATTTAATGTGTGTGCAAATTAGACTAAACAATAAACGAAACAATCAAATTTCCTAATGAACCCATATCAGTTTGAAATGGAATGAAACATTTCTAGAAGTAA